ACTCACGATGGAGGACGTTAGCAAACTATGAACCGGCTGGCACAAAAGGCCCCACTGCTAGGCACGCTGCTCCCCTGTGGGTCGATGCCTTTTTCGCTAGGACGTTGTGGTTCCCTCTGGTCTTCCTTTTCAGGTGTGCCCGGAACGTGCCCTGGGTTCTTCCTTTGCTTTTTCTTTTTCTCGTTCTTGGTTCTCGGGGTTTGCAAGCCGGTGTTGTTCTAAGTTGACCCCAACTAACACGCCGGTGCTCAAGCCTGCTACATATGGCCAAGCCATGCCGGTCATTCAGTCTCCGGAAACGGTGTTTCTCCTGCAGCTCTTCGGCAAGTATGAAAGTTCAGCAGAACTATGCGGCGCTGCCAAATACTATGGCATCCCTGAGCCCATGTACCCAGATAGCTTGCAACACGGCACCGACCACTTCCTACGACTCGGTGATCCACTCGATGTCAACGCATCCTACCAATATTATCAGGTTCTCTACCTGATCATCATTACGTGTCGCAGAGTTCTCAACATGCCGATGGTCAACAAGCACCTGTCCATGTGGGCCGAGTCCCTAGCCACACTGCTCATGGTTCATCACTACGGTCGTCCCACACATGCACTTACAGAACTCAGGCGCCGACTACGACGCTTGCACATCCACCCGAACATGTACACCTTCACCCACTTCTCGCAGACCAATGCGGTGTACTGGAAGCAGCGAGTAGAACTCCGCCCTGACCTTCCGCGCTCAGTCAACCCGCAGTCCGATGTATACATTGGCAGTACCAGCATCACTTATTCCAGCCGAGAGCACAATCGTAGAGTCAAGTTGCTGGGTATTCAACATGGGCAATTCATTAATGCTGAACCGGCGCTCAGATGGTGGCACCACTTCGGCAACTATGATGAATTTGCCACCTGGGTCATCCTGACCGACCCCGACCACACAGTCACCTGGACTCAAGAGCATGCCCTGATCAGCATTTATCAGCCGTCCCTCAATTGGCCCTACATTTACCGGCAATACAAGCGTATCTCCACCGGATACACAGCTACCAGGTTTCTTGCTGAACAACCCTGGTCCAGATTCGGCAAACGCCTCTTCCTTCGGCTCCGAAGAAGGAGCTGCGCAGTCTATGGCCGAAATTTTCATCGAGTGGCGCTCAAACACAATCAGGCGTGGTCCATCATTGCCCGCCTCACCTCGGAGCACATTGAACCTGAGAAGAAGAAAAACGACTTCGCAGCGGACAGCGCTCGGACCTGGACATCTACGCCATCTACAGGTTGTCTGGCAATGTGGAGCAGCCTCATCGGCATCGAGTTCGCAACATTCTTCGTCGAGTTCTTGATTTTCGACAACTACAGCAACCCAAGCTCAACCTGCCATTGCGATTACCGTGGCTGTCTCACCCAGATTATCAACGGACCACCAGAGAAGTTCTTCGTCGTCTCGTCATCGACCACCGCAACTGGGCCCTTCCATTCCACTTACCGAGCACGAAGCTCGCTGAGACTCCTCATCCCCGAGTCCACACAGTCATGTGGAACTACTTGCCATTTCAAGACTGCTATCCCTTGACGTCTTCTGGGTCATCGTGTCAATGCGACGCCTGGCTCAAAAGTCAGCCCTGGCTATCCCATGTTCAAGGTCATGTGGCAGCAGGATTAGATGAGTTCCGGTTTCCGGGTACGCCCCATCACGTTCACTACACCTCAGCGCTGGCGTCGTATTATGTAGACTTCGCGGTCTACGAAGTGCAAGTTCACGAACGCCTACGGAAATGGTGTTTGCATCACGGACTCCCGCTGCACCAGTTCCACGCCCCTCTCATGGAGCACCTTCGCAGCCAATTCCCGCAGCCAATTCCAGCAACATCGGAAACATGCATGCACTCACCAGCTCCTTACCAAGCATCAGCTCAACATCCTTCATCGACACCTTGGTCAAGACTTTGTATGCCACAACGAGGATCATGACAACCACCACCTCATGTTCTTCTGTCCTCAACTCTACTTCAAAGGGCCTCCACAATACCTGGCTTCAGTCCAGCACCTTCGAAGCCACTACACTGAAGCCCGATCAAGCAGCGGCCATTATTCTTGAGGCAATTCCAAAGCACCTGCGGCAGAAGTACAAATGGGCATACCGGAAGAAGACCACCTCCATCCCGGTTGGAAAAGTCTTTCTCAAACGGAAAAAGCAGTGGAAGTCGGGTCGCACCATTATAGCATATCATAAGGTGGTGCGCCGGCTACTTTTCAAAGCAGTCGCCATCCTTCTCGGCGAGATTGCCGCAGACACATGGAGACGCTCATGGGGGATACACCCCACACCACGCATATGGCAGAACATCAAGCAATACTTTGACAACACAGATGACACAGTGACACAGTCACCCTTGCCTTCCACAATGACGACTTAGTCGGCTTCTTCAACAGTGTTCCTCAGGACCAGGTGTGTGCAGCGGTTGCGCAGCTACTCGCCGAGCACCAACGAGACAGGCCCAGTTCCGTGTACTCAGTGGAAACACAGGCAACTGCCCACCACAACCGGGTGTTTGCGGGCAAGCAATCCTACGACCACGCGCATCATCCACGTGGAGGACATCATGACCATTGTCAAGTCCAGCTTCCAAGGCATGTGTGTTCAAGTGGGGACCCTCTTCATGCGCCAAGTCCATGGTACAACAATTGGCTCCCAGCTCAGCCCGGTACTTAGCCACATATGCGTAGCAAGGCACGAAGTCATGTGGCAGCTTATCTATGGACAATGGTACACCAGTCACAACGTCTTCTTGGAGCGATATGTGGACAACCGGTTTGTCATCTTCCCTTCTCCATCCTCAGGTCACCCGGCGCCCCCACTGGAGGCACTGCTCCAGGCTGACTTCTACGGCGCCCCCATCGTGCTGGAACAAGTGGGGTCTTCAGAGTTCCTCAGCTTCGTCATTGATGTCGGCGACCGGTCTATTTACTACAAAACCCCTACAAAAATCTGGCAGATACGAGGGCCACGCACTGCTGGAAGCCTCTCCATCCTCCTCTCAGGAGCTAGGTCACGGTCAGCCTTTGCCACCAAGTACGCGCATCCAGCCAGAGCAGTACAGATGGCACTGGATCAGCTTCGCAGCATCTATTTGTCCGCAGGCTACAAGTCAGCTGACCTGCAACACCTGTTTCACCTACCGGCGACTCCAACACGAAAGAATTCTCAAGCGCCTGCCTTTTGGCTCTTACCCTCATGTGTCCGCGTTTGTCTTTTCTTGTTTTTCTTGGTTTCTTGTTTCTTGATGTCCGTGTTGACCATGGTGCTCATACACTGGTTCAAACAGTGCTGCAATTCCTGCCGACCTCCGCGAGCTGTCGCCATGCTCGGCCGCATGATAGCGCTTCATCACCGCATGACTCAGAACGCTGGTGACATGATGCAGCTCATTCAGGAGACCTTGAACCAAGCTGACGAGGCACGCAGTCGCCGGCACCATGACGGGCAAGGTCGCTGGCAACAACAATATGTCCAAGGCCGGTCGCTGGCCGAGCCATCACGGCTACACGCACCTGCTCCTGTTGGAGCCGATGAGGTAAACCCACCTGGCCCGCCGATGTCGAATCCAGTCAACCCAGCATCTCCGACCGACCCTCCACCACATGTCGGATTCCAATCAATTCAGTCACACGCAGACCACAGGCGGAACGTGGCGGTCAACCCCAAGTCGTTGTCCTATTGCATCATCGCGGCGGACACCAACGACCCTACAGATCGACGTTCGAAGAGCCCCATGGTGCACGATTACGTTGGTCAGCCGGGCTTCAAGAAGGCCAATGTTCCTCGCTCTATAATGGACAAGGGTGAGGCCGATCGACGCAGAACCAAGCGAAAGCGATGCCGCGCTACATCCTCCGAGAAGATGGACTCGCCGGAGCCTCCAGCACGTCCAGCACCTTGTACTCCAGCTCCAGCTCCGGTCTCTCCCTGCGCTGGCCTGGTATCCTCTCCTGAATCCCTTCCTGAACCTCCGGCTCATGCTCATTCCGATGCCGGCAACCCAGGAACTCCCCCGGAAGCACCTCGTGCCTGGACAGAGGAAGATGACCAGCAGCTTTGCAGCCTGAAAGCGGACAACCGGTCCAAGTACTCGTACAAATCGCTGGCCAAGAAGCTAAACAGGTCCATCGCGGTCACGCAGCGCTGGAGGAGCCTGGAACGCCTCAGGAAAGCTCGGGAACAGAATCAGAAGACTACCTGAACGTGTCCAACGCAGCCTGCCCAGTCGTCTCCGGTGATACAGGTGCAGCTCTACCACGGATTTGGGGCATCGACTTTTTGAACTCCATATGGGAGCAATGCGTCCCTTCGGCCACAATCAAAAAGTTAGTTCGCAAACAGCCGCCACCGGTGTATGTCTTGGCATGGTTTTGGTTTTCTGTTTTGTTTCTGTTTTGCTTCTGTCTCTGAGGGCCCCTGCTGTCTGGGTTCCTGGTTGGCCCTTGTTTTAGAAACTTGGCTTTTTAATACTGTGGGATGCGCGTCTAGACGCACAGGCAGGATTTAAAAAAGTGACCAAATCTCCCATCGAGCATCATGATGGAGGCGGCCTTTCGGTTTCCTGTGTTCTCCCCCTGCGGGGTGTGTGTGTGTGTGTGTGTGTGTGGCCCCCCTGTTTCTAAGGGGTTTCCGCTGTCCTTTTGAGTTTGGAGCCGGACGCCACCTCCCGGCATGATCAGGCGCGTAGTAGTCAAGCAGGTGATGGCGTCCCTGAAGAGGAAGCTTGCCTGACGAACAATGTCCTGACTTGCTCGGAGCCGAAACTCCACTCTCCACTTTTCACTTTCCAGTTGCTCGGGGGTGCACCATGGCAGTTTCGCCGTCTCATATCAAGTGTGTTCATGTGCATTCTCCCAACTGCCTTGAGTGCGTGAGCAACTGCAACTCCTGTTTCCTTCAGTCTGGCAACTGCCGAAGAGTGTGAGCAAGCGAGCGAGCGAGCGAGCCGAGCGAGCGAATCGAGGACACAACGCGCCGCAGGGTGCCCGACCCTCATTGCACAGGGCTGCGCTTCTAAGAAAGTTTGTTGATGTCACCCAATTTAGCATCGCCCAGGTACATATTTCAACAATAGTCCGCGGGTTCAGAGCCCCAAGAACTCCCAAACTCCCCCAGAAGACGACCTGAATCTGATTGCTCGGCATCAGCACATATGGAAAGAAGGTAGGCTCTTGCTTCAAGATGCTCAGTCTGCACCACATCCTGTTGCTTGGTGAGGCATCCTGGCGACCGAGGTGGCAGACGGCAATGGCACACCCTTCGACCCGAGCGCGCCAGGAGCTTGGAAGTGAAGTCACCAGCTTCATCACCAGCAGTCATGAGCTATCCCCTTCACAGACAGGAAGCAAACTCCGCGCTTTACAGACGTCGAGCTTCCAGGTTCTGGACCTTCGAGCCAGTCGTGGCCACGGAAGACCAGAGCCCAGATGTGACCATGGAGGCGTCGGTGAGAAAGGAGAGGCTACACAAGTGGCTTGAAGCCATGTTACACAAACCATGGCTCACAGTTTACAGTAGACTCCTCAGCCGGCCTCTGACATTTTGAAGGCGGTAGTAGCTGTGTTGATTTAAAAGGTGGCAGAGGGGATGGAAGGCTCCCAAGGCTGCGGCTGTGAACAGGAAACGACTGGTAGAGGAGGTCACGGAGGTCAGGGAGGTCCCACAAAACCCACAGGAGGTTGTTTTGTCTCCCTCTTTTGTCCTCTCCTGAGGCGAGGGTATGTGGATGCTGGCCTCACGTCGATCGACCGGGGGTTACTAATCCTGCTCCAAATTGATGCGGGCGGCCAGTCATGTTTGTCCCATATCCTCTTGAGGCACTCTTGAGGAAAAAGTAATTCTGTCCGAGGCTGGAAAAGACTTCCCGCCCTCCCGAGAAGGATGCACATGAACAACTGACAACGTCATTGATTCTCGGACATGGGGGCCCACCTAGTTTTCCCATGTCCTTGAGCACTTTGTTTGTGGCTGACTTGAACCTGACACCTTCGCATGGTCTAAGGAGCTGAGAAGCAACCATTGGGCTCAACTGCTGGGGCATGCATGGCATGCCTGAAAATTTGGGTTGCTCCAAATGTCAGGTTTCTTGTTTGTCGTCCTGAGAGCTGGCACATGCGGTTTTCCAGATCTCCAAATCGACAGGAAGAGGCTTCCCACACCATGAGAAGCATGAGCTCCCGTCAGGCGCGGCAAAAGGTCCTCATCAAGAACAACAAGGGCGAGGTGCTGTGCCCCTCAGCCAATTCCAGTCTTGTCCATGGTGGCTTCCGCTAAGGATGAACCAACTAGAGGCCAGGCGAAACAGAGTGGAGTTTTTTGGAAACTGGCTCATTCCCATCCTTAGAGATACACCTAGTATTTACTGAGTTGGGAAACCTTTAGCTATTTTCTTGGTATCCTCCCCCAGGCGATTCCATGCCATCTCAGGTCTGACGGAGGGCGGCGACACCAGGTTTTTGCCTGCTTCAGAGGCGGGGCAGATTTTTCTGAAGTGTTTGTGCAAAGTTCCGGGTTAGTCTCATTGCATGCCGAAATATAGACAAGTTGCTCAAGGGCTATGCCTGTGTGCATGAGGACCCAGATCATGTTAAGCGCTGCGGCATCTCAATACCTCGAACCTGCGACAGATGACCAGATCATCTCGAATCGTGACTTGCCAATCCTCAGGAGTTCGATGTGATGCAAGAGGCATGCATGGAAAGAGCGGCATTATTTGTTTCCTGAAGCGAATCCGGAAAATAATAGGACATATTTAGGACATATTTACCTTTGCGCGGTTCAGGTGGTTTCCATGCTCAGTATTTAGAGTTGCCCTCTTCATTCAAATATCTCTAGTTTTGAAGCTTTCCAGAAGGTGCAGTCAACAATAAACCATTTTGATGCGTTCTTGTCAGAGGAGGTTGTTTTCTTGCCGGCTGTGCAAACTGCAAGGGGCTGAGCCATTACTCAGTTAGTCCCCAGTTCAAAACCGGTGAGCTAGAAAGTCGCCGACCCAACCTTAATGCTAACCTGGATGTGGTTCGAAAAAGGGAGCTGTCTTTTCATTTGGCTGGAGATTCATGGGCATCAAAAGGGAGTGGCCCCTTGCATGTGTGTATATGATTCAAGGCGCTGAGTTTGCTGCTTTGAGTTGATGTTGTGATGCAATTCCTTACATATCTTTCCGCTTGCCATGGAAACTTGCAGCCACAAGCTCTGCAAATGCGGTGATTTCATGTCCTACATGGCAAGCACATACCCCGTTTCACGGAGTCAGGGGAATTGGAGTGGGTTTGTGGTATGGTGGGTAGGGGCCCTCATACTCACAGGGCTGTTCAATCGTAATCCTTAGTTTACCCTGGGTTACGCAAGGGTTTTCTTCTTCGTGGCTCCCCAATATATATATATATATATTATATTATATATATATAGATTATATGGAAAAGGGGTCCTTTTCCAATAGGCTTGGCCAAGCCCTCCATTCGAGGGCTGAAAACCGGATTGGCCCCTTGGCCTCCATTCAGCCCAGAGCTGACCAGGCGGGCAGCCTGTCGCACTTCGTGCTGGGCGCCACGACTGGAGAGGCGTGGGGTCGGCCGCCAGACCTGGCAGGTCAGAGGCTTCGGGGTCTCTGGGGTCAAAATTTTCCAGCGCCAGGAATCGGACTGCAGGGTTCCAAAATGGATACCCATTTTTGACCCACAGCCATATGGCCGATGCAACTTTCATTTCTCTCCTTTCTTGCGGGGCCTTTTCGCAGAGGGGAGTTGGCCGGACATGCTTTTGGATGTTTGCTTTTAGGAACCCAAAGTTTGGAGGAGCACCCGATTTTGTGAACCGTGTCAAAGCTGGTGGATCCGGATCCTCAGGTCGAATTCTGAAGCATGGCTTAAGACATTGCGGCTTCGGCGTAGATCAGAAGCTTGCCAGCTTTGGAATCTTCGATTGCTAGCTTTGGAATTGTAGATGTGATGAAGCGACCCATAGACTCGTGGCCACAAAGGCGGCTTCATGGAGCTTGCGCTGGGCCCGTGATTTGTTTGGCGTTTGATGCGTGCGGGACTGGCAGAGTTGCTTGACAGGACGAGGCTGCCAAGCTGGGCGAGACGCTGCGAATCCAGCCCGCAACTTACATGAGTGCTGCGCCTTGTTGCAACTTTGTCAAAACATGTCGAAGTGGCTGGCTGACTTCACAATCCACATCACAATCCACCATTGAGGTGTGCAAAGTAACTGCCACTGCAAAGGAACACAAGGGATGGTTTCGGCCGACCTGCATGAAGTTTTGACCATCCCCGATAGACCAGTCGGAGCGATTGGCCGGGCTGCTTCCCGGAAGCTGAATGGCCGGGCTGCGCGAAGCTTTAGGAAGCGCCGTTCCATGTTTTGCGACAGACCCGATGGTCTTGCATCCGGGCTTCCTCCTTCAGGTCGGCAGCAACCGGCAAGTACCTCCGGGTCAACAAAGATGGCACCTGCTCCAGCCTCAGTGCCAAATAGGTATGGGTCAAAATTAAAGCACCAGGGGACCGCAGGTTTTAGTCCTTGGTTCCACTTACCAGGGTTCCAAAATGGAGACCCAGTTTTGACCCACAGCCTAAATGGCGCTCCCCTCGCATAGCCTTTTCAGGTCTCGATGGGGGGCAGCTCGAGGCTAGCTGAAGCTGGCACTCATGTTTCAAAGACCCAGCAGACTCCGGTGCACCCGTATATTTTGTTTTAAGTAGAATGTGCAAAGAGCACACGGCTGTGGCTCAAAAAACCGGCACCAAAATGGAACCCTGGTAAGTGGAAACATAGACCAAAACCTGCGGTTTGCCCCTCCTGTTTAATTTTGAGCCACACCCACATGGTGCTGAGCACTCCAGCAAAAGACGCAGATGTACGTAGCTCCACCCCAGCCGACATTTTTTTGGAACAGATCTGAACTGGTCGAAACGAGACCGCAAATTGGATCCTGCATGAAAGGAACGAGAAAGACAGGCGGGTCGTTGTCCAACTGCCAGTGCCCACAGATCCATTTTCCGCATGGACGGTGCTGGTGCTGCGGAACGTGTAGCAATTGCAACGACACAGCACGCTTGGTTGATTTGCGGATGGCATTTGAGTCAATCACTGGTCTCAGCAAACAAGATTTCCAGATTGTGCTGGGGACACCGAGCTGTATTCCTTGATAGTTGGTCACATCACGACGCGCTGATTGGTTGAGAGCAAATGAGACCAAACAAGTCCCAAATTTGTAGTTAATGTGTTTTCCTGACTTTCTGATTGTGTTTTCCGACTGAGGTGATGGCAACGGCAATGCCAAAGAGACGGAGCGGGCAGCCGGTGACATTGGCATCAAACAAAAGGGAGCTGCAGCACCAAGCAGATCCTGCATTTCGGACCAACTTTCCTAACTGCCCAAGGCAAAACCATATTCAAGGGCTCATCAATGCTGAAGTGGCAAGGCCTTTGCCACAAAATGCTGTCAATACGCGCGTGAGAAATACTCAGGCTCAAGCTCAACAGCTCAAACATCGGAGCGTACAGATCCGCTTCGCAACTTCGGCCTTTAACGATTTTTCCTCCTATCCAAGGGTCCAAGATGAATGAAGGGTCCAAACCCACAGTGATTCGTTGCCAACGGCAACAGACTAAAGGCGTTCAACCGATTCCCACTTCGTTTTTCCGTTTTCCTTGTCTGTCGGAAATAGACCCCGGGCCGCGGGAGCTGGCTGTGCGGGTGGGACCCTTTCTCAAATTACTCTCTGGGACGGGAGAGGGCCTTGAACCTTTAACCCACGATTTGGAGGGAAGATGAAAAGTAATAATTTGAAGGGTTCTGAATCCGGGCCCATGCAACCACCACCAAGGTGAACATCACTTGGGCAGCCGTTCACGAAGCCGGTAGCCACGCAGCCGCCTTCGATTCTTCGCGCGCAGTAGCACTATTCATTGAATTGCCTGGAGAGGAGAAGCGGCACGGTCCATCTTGTGTCCCAAGAAAAATTCGTTAAGAACTCCCCCCCCCCATTTTCGTACTGTCGAGTTTGTGTGCCCAATTTCATCTTTTCCTTAGATGACAGTACATGGGGGGAGGGGGGTTGAGGGCACCAATTTGGTGGTTTCAACACCACTTGCGGGGGTTTCTGATTCCTAGTCTAAGTCAACGTGCAATAGCCCGTGTTTAAAATCAAGTGCAAAAAGCAGGGATGATTTACTTCTACTTTATTTCAGACAACCATCTCGCACACAGGTTTTAAAAGGAGCCCCCCCCCCCCAATCACGTGCGCACCGATTGGGGGGTACAGCGAGATATTGGCCCATGGCTTTCAACAACGGATCTCGTACACATACCGCTTCAGAGCCGCGGTTTCTCTCCCACGAGTGCGCCTCCTCCTTCATGAAACCGCAACGCCGGCTCAGTAGATGGAGAGTAAGATATGAGATGCCAAGCAGGCGCCTGCGGGGTCTCCGGGTCCATTGTTGCGGGAGACACGTCAACCTGGACCGGCCCCGCACATGGCGGCAAAACAACAATAGAGCCCGCGGGCCCATGGAGTCGGGTCTTTGTAGCTATACGGCTACGGGGCGTTCCGTTCAAGAGATTTCGAGATGCCCAGCGTCATTGTACACTTGTCTGATCGATTCTGACAACAAAACTGGTGAGTGACACAATTAATCTGTAAAAAACGACTCTGTTTAGCCGAAAACCTGTCATTCCCACATTTGGATTGTTATTGGCCGTTTTGCGAGGGATTCTGGTAAAGTCCAGGACGCCGTTTTGCGAAGGGTTCTCTCAAAAACCAGGACGCCGGTTTGCGAAGGGTTCTCTCAAAAACTAGGACGCCGGTTTGCAAAATATTCTTTCAAAATCCGAAGCACCGTTTTGCGAAGGATTTTTCCGAAATCCGAAACGCCGGTTTGCGAAGAATTCTTTCAAAATCCGAACCGCCGTTTTGCGATGGATTCTTTCAAAATCCGAACCGCCGTTTTGCGAAGGACTTTTCTGAAATCCGAAACGACGGTTTGCGAAGGATTCTTCCGAAATCCAAACCGCCGTTTTGCGATGGATTCTTTCAAAATCCAGCAAGCTGTTTTGCGAAGGATTTTTCCAAAATACAAAATGCCGTTTTGCGATGAATTCTGGTGGGATTCTTCTCAAAATCATGCTGCAGCCTAAGAGTTTAGAACCGAGGCTTCAGTCCTGGGAAGGTACTTTGCAAGACAACGAGCCCACTCTGCAAAAGTGCTAGTCTTCTCAAATCTGAGGTCGGGGATGTTGAGAATTCTTCGCAATTTTTGTGTTTCTTGCCCCAAAATCAAGTTCGGGATTTGCGATGAAACCTGGTGGGAATCATCGCAAAGTCCAGGCTTCGTCCAGGGCCACTGTTGCCACTTTTGAGGCTTCCAGTTTCGGAGGGCTGGCAATACAAGAGATTTTGCGATGATTCCCACCAGGTTTCATCGCAAATCCCGAACTTGATTTTGGGGCAAGAAACACAAAAAATGCGAAGAATTCTCAACATCCCCGACCTCAGATTTGAGAAGACTAGCACTTTTGCAGAGTGGGCTCGTTGTCTTGCAAAGTACCTTCCCAGGACTGAAGCCTCGGTTCTAAACTCTTAGGCTGCAGCATGATTTTGACAAGAATCCCACCAGAATTCATCGCAAAACGGCATTTTGTATTTTGGAAAAATCCTTCGCAAAACAGCTTGCTGGATTTTGAAAGAATCCTTCGCAAAACGGCGGTTCGGATTTTGAAAGAATCCTTCGCAAACCGACGGTTCGGATTTCGGAAAAATCCATCGCAAAACGGCGGTTCGGATTTTGAAAGAATCCTTCGCAAACCGGCGTTTCGGATTTCGGAAAAATCCATCGCAAAACGGCGTTTCGGATTTCGGAAGAACCTTCGCAAACCGTCGTTTCGGATTTCAGAAAAGTCCTTCGCAAAACGGCGGTTCGGATTTTGAAAGAATCCATCGCAAAACGGCGGTTCGGATTTTGAAAGAATTCTTCGCAAACCGGCGTTTCGGATTTCGGAAAAATCCTTCGCAAAACGGTGTTTCGGATTTTGAAAGAATATTTTGCAAACCGGCGTCCTAGTTTTTGAGAGAACCCTTCGCAAACCGGCGTCCTGGTTTTTGAGAGAACCCTTCGCAAAACGGCGTCCTGGACTTTACCAGAATCCCTCGCAAAACCGCCAATAACAATCCAAATGTGGGAATGACAGGTTTTCGGCTAAACAGAGTCGATTTTTAAAGATTAATTGTGTCACTCACCAGTTTTGGAAGATCGAATTCTCAAGAAGTGGTTGTTGTCAGAAACGATCAAACAGGTGTACAATGACGCTGGGCATCTCGAACGGAACGCCCCGTAGCCGTATAGCTACAAAGACCAGACCCCATGGGCCCGCGGGCTCTATGTTGTTTTGCCGCCATGTGCGGGGCCGGTCCAGGTTGACATGTTTCCCGCAACAATGGACCCGGAGACCTTGGCATCTCATATCTTACTCTCCATCTACTGAGCCGGCGTTGCGGTGTCATTGTCATGAAGGAAGCGCACTCGTGGGAGAGGAACCGCGGCTCTGAGCCGCGGGCTGTCCTGCGCCGAAGCGGTATGTGTACGAGATCCGTTGTTGAAAGCCATGGGCCCATATCTCGCTGTCCCCCCCAATCGGTGCGCACGTGATTGGGGGGGGGGGCTCCTGTTAAAACCTGTGTGCGAGATGGTTGTCTGAAATAAAGTAGAGGTACAACATCCCTGTTTTTTGCACTTGATTTTAAACACGGGCTATTGCACGTTGACTTAGACTAGGAATCAGAAACCCCCGCAAGGGTGGTGTTAAAACCACCAAATTGGTGCCCTCAAACCCCCCCCCATGTACTGTCTAAGGAAAAGATGAAATCGGGCACATAAACTCGACAGTACGAAAATGGGGAGGGGGGGGGGTTCTTAACGATTTTTTCTGGGGACACAAGATGGACCGTGCCGCTTCTCCTCTCCGGGCAATTCAATGAATAGTGCTACTGCACGCGAAGAATCGAAGGCGGCTGCGTGGCTACCGGCTTCGTGAACGGCTGCCCAAATGAGGTTCACCTTGGTGGTGGTTGCATGGGCCCAGATTCAGAACCCTTCAAATTATTACTTTTCATCTTCCCTCCAAATCGTGGGTTAAAGGTTCAAGGCCCTCTCCCGTCCCAGAGAGTAATTTTGAGAACGGGTCCCTCTAAATGTAACTACTAGGGGCGGCTTATGCACCCCGCACAGCAAACCCGCACAGCCAGCGCCCGTGGCCCGGGGTCTTTATTTCCGACAGAGAAAGAAAACGGAAAGACGAAGTGGGAATCGGTTGAACGCCTTTAGTCTGTTGCCGTTGGCAACGAATCACTGTGGGTTTGGACCCTTCATTCATCTTGGACCCTTGGATAGGAGGAAAAATTGTTCTTTGATGATGACCGAGAGCTCTCAGATGGTGAAGCTAGCAGGTGGCATGGCTGTAGGGGCCACAGCGGTTATGGTGGCATCTTCGGCTCTCAAGCAATGCTTGAGGGATTGTTTGCGATGCGATGCCTCTCCCTCTTTTGAGTACTACCTTGCAGTGCATTAGCGGCCTTCCCCATCTGTGGCACTTGCTTGCCCATCCTGGGCACGACCTACCAGTGCAACGGACCCTATCCGATCCCGGAGTGCAACCCTGCGACTCCACCGTTCGATCTCATGAAGGGCGCAAGCAGTACTTCGAGATCATGACTGCGGATGCCAACATCGTCCAAGAGATGATCTCAAGACCTGCAGATGTCCCCAAGCCTTGGAGCCGCGATGTCGAGGTTGGTTTGCAAGACTTCACCGCCAAGGGGCTCTTCACCAGCAGTGAGAAGTCAGAGGATTGGAAGACGGGTCATAGTCTCCTTCCTCGCGGTTTCAATCAGATCAAAGTGAAGAGTCGTACTTTTGTTGCGGAATGGTCCAAATTTGAAGCCGGGCAGTGGCTGACCGCAATGACCGCAGATGCTGTAGTTTCATGTGCATGGAACTGGACACGTGCAATGTGGAGCCGCACAAGCTTGTGGAGACCTTCCGCTTTGGCCTCGGCGTGTCGATCGGAAGCATCACCGCGGAGTTAGAGTACGGTGTCAAGCGCTACCTGCCGTTCTTTGATGCTGAAGGTCAACTTCAGGAGAAGTACGAAGCCGCTGAGAAGGAGATGCAGAGACAGGTGGAGGACTTGGTTGAAGCCACTCGAAGAGGTGAACTGAGTGAGAACTCCATATTGCTGCCATGCTCAACGATGTGGACGGCAAGAAGGTTCGATTTGGCGCTTTGTACGGGCGCGATGGTGAATTTGATGATTGCAGGCCATGAGACCGCTGCCGCCACCCTGGGCTTCACGATGCAGCTTTTGGCAGAGCATCCGGAGTTTGAGCAGCGTGCACTGGAGGAGACGGGTGTTTCCGTGTTTCTGAGAGGAGTTCGTCCGACCCCACGATTTGTTTACTAAATTCTAGTTCATTTCTGGCCCTCTGAATACAACCCCAAAAGGGTCCGCCGGTCCATGTTGAGGGTTTCTCCATGTGAGCAGCGTTTTATTTTTTAATGCAGGAGCCAAGAGGAGAGGGGAACTGGCATGGTGGCTGCGTAGCCTACTCCTGGGACCGCGTAGCCTCGCGTATTCTCCGCGTAGCCGCTAGGAAAGGGAGCTGTCGATAACGTCCATGTAGCCCCTGCCTAGATCCTTTGTCTTGAGCTCAAGGCTTAGGTTGAAAGCTTGCGTGTCTCAGAGAAAGAGGGTGAATTTGATTTGCCTTGGCCCGGCCAGAACTGAGTTCGCTCATTCCGCGTAGCCTCAGCGTAGCCCGCGCGTAGCCTCCGCGTAGCCTCCAAGGCGTATTCAGGGCCACTCCTCCTACTACCATTGCTACTACTACTACTACTACTACTACTACTACTACTACTATTACTACTACTACTACTACTAGTACTACTGCTACTAGTACTACTACTACTACTACTAGTACTACTACTAGTACTGCTACTACTACTACTACTACTACTACTTCTACTACTACTACTGCTACTGTTACCAGTACCACTGCTACTACTACTGCTACTACTACCACTGCTCCTGCTACTACTACTTCTACTACTATTACTACTAGTACTAGTACTAGCACTACTCCTACTACTACTTCTACTACTACCACTACCACTACCCCTACCACTACTACTACTGCTGCCACTGCCACTACTACTACTACTACTGCTACTACTACTACTACTGCTACTACTACTGCTACCACTACCACTACTACTACTACTACTACTGCTGCTGGTGCTACTACTACTTCCGGTTGCCAACGCATATTCGCGTAGCCCCGGCGTAGCCCCCCGCGTAGCCACTTATCAACAAGTATGTTCTGCGTAGCATTTCTAGGGGGAAAGGCAGCCGCGTAGCCTCCTCGTAGGTATGTGCTTCCAGTGTATAGGCCCCACACATTTAAGAAAAACACGGCTCATGTGGGTATGGGCCAAAATGAAGCCACCAGGGGACCGCAGGTTTTAGTCCTTGTTTCCATTTGCCAGGGTTTAGTTTTGAGTATCAATTTTTGACCCAAACCCGTGTTTCTCCCAGGTGCGGCGGGTGCTGCAGGGCTACAGCCCGGTGACCTCCATCACGCGGGACGTGGCCTATGATACCCTGCTGCGCGGTCATGGCGTGTAAGGCGAGAGGATCAACCTGGTGACACGGGCCTTGCAAACGAACCCGGAGTACTGGGGGCGGGAATTTGGAGATCCGTTGAGCTTCAACCCAGAGCGCTTCTCACCTGAGGCAGTGAGGCAGCGACATCCCAACGCCTATCACCCGTGGGGCTTTGCCACACGCGCTTGCATTGGTAGTCAGTTCGCTCTCGTTGATCGCTGCGGATTGTACAGCCGGCTGCGGATTGTTGGCCGAAAGCGAGACAAGCACAAAGACTGGCCTCTGGACTCGCCTCGGCTCGATGGCTATCCAAGATACTAGGATTAAATATAAAAAAAAAACACCCATCAAAAAAAACAGGGTTCCCTAAAAGATGCATTTTGCAACCAGTTGATTTTTCAACACCAAAATAAAGGGAACCCACCATTTACAAGGCAATGTTCAGGTGTATAATGTAAGGATCCCTGAAAGAAGATGGCTCCAAGGGACGCTTCTGGCTCGAAAAAGACGAGCGCGGAGCGTCGCGACCGGAGCCCGGCTCGAGGAGACGCAGTTCGTCATCGACCAGGGTGGCCCGCCCGTGACGTCAGGCCGAAAGAATCACGGCAAAGATTTGAGAGACTCGCTGATACGAAGCGCCGTGGCGGGATTTGTACTCGTTCAAATTCATTCAAATCTCGCAGCAGTCTTCAGTTTGGCCTTCCTTGGTGACGTAAGCTTGGAAGTGCTTGTTGGAGAGTGCTACAGACAGGACGCTGGGGAGGAGACTATTTTGAATACCAGACCTGCCGTAAGGTGCAAGTTTCCAAAAAGGCCAAGATGGGCATATCATTCCCAGCACTGTGAATAACACTATCTCCACAACTCTCATGTGCCGTGTAATGAAACAGTTTGGTCCCTCTGGAACTCTGGAAGTAGCTGGTTGATGGTACCTTGTCTACCTTTTTGCAGGCGGCATTTTCTCCTTCCGCGCCGCGCTCAGTCGTGGCTTGAGGACAGCTCCGTCTAGTTGGGGCATGCTAAAAGGACGGACGTCTTACCGGGCTGCTTGCTTTCTGAGTGCTTTGGAGGCGCCGTTTCGATTTCGATTTCGGCTGTGCGAACATTGTTTTGGGAGCCGGATGAGTGCGGGCTTCGGGACTATCGGAGATCGGAGAACTCGCCCGGCCGGGCAAGCCTCAAAGCCATCGATGCAAGGAATGGGGGCAGGGTCCAGACCCAGCCAACGCCAAGAACTAGATACTAGAAACGGGTACCTGTGGAATCTCCACCCGCCAGTTTTTTTTTTTGTTTCTCTGGGGCACCCATCCAACCTTGCAGTGTTCCAGATCTTCCATCCAGAATCTTTCGCGTTAGAAATACGCAGGAAGCCGGAGGTTTGCAACAATTTCACCTTTGCATGGCCTTGCGCTTGGCCGCCACTTCAGGCGTGGAGGCGACGGACAACGCCTGTCTTCATGGAAATCCCAACGGTTCAGTGCAGGCGAGATGTGCTTCGCAGTAGCTTGTCTGTCAAGCCATGCCATTCGTGTGGAGCGTGCCACGCCATTTGTTGTTGCGGTTGCTCGACATATCGTGCTTTCACTGGCTCTGTTGAATTGAAGTCACCTGCGCCTGTACTCAACCCCTCGCTTTCGCATTGCTTGAGTTTCATTGCTTGAGTCAAAGAGGCGGGCTTGCCTCGGCATTTGGCTCAAGACTGCTTGCTTAATTAGTCAAACCCGCTGCCTTGCGCTGGGCAGCGGGTATGCAATCCCTGAGATATGCCTCTTAGTTGCATCAGCACGTTATGCCAGGTCCAGCTGCAAGGCAGACTTAGCGTGATGCTCTCAGGTAAGAGCTATACTGGAATGTGGCCCCTTTTCGGGTGGTTTTAGAAGACCAAGCACGATCCGCTGTCATGCCAAGTGACCCCCAAACCTTTTGACGCAGGACTTCCTGATGTTGTACTCACAAGGAATCCAAAAACTGAGGCGTAGCCACGCAATCCCGGAAGAGTTGATGCGGGACGGGGTTCCTTGAACTTCCATTGACCTCCAAAAGGGATAGTTTCTGTAGAACCCAACAGCAAATTCGCTTATCCAGTGAGCCCTGAATGGGAGACTCACATGGGTGGATGTGGGTCAAAAAATAGTGAATGGAAACAAGGACTAACACCCGTGGTCCCCTGGTTCAATTTTGACACATGGCTGTGGGTCAAAACCAATGGTACCATTTTGGGGGGTTTTCGGTGCACCACCCATTTTAGAACCTATTTTGGTGGGGATTGAATCGGATGTTCACTGGGGCTACGATTCGGATTTTGATCCATGGCCACTCAAAACCTGGGTAGATGAAGGTTAGCAAGGGACAATCCAACCAGACATAGCTGCGGCCGCCTTCTTAATTCTTTACATGGCTCTGGGTAGGCCGTTTTAATGCCGGGTTTTGACCCGTGACTCACATCACAACTCTGGCATTTGTCGAGGTCTTGGCTCTGCTGACTTTCGTGGAGCTTCATGGACTGACGGTTCTGGATGCCTTGTCAGCGGACAGGAGCCTGAAAACATTTCTGCATGCGATTCAGCCACTTGGATCGCAGAAGGGCTTTGAACGCACATGGGATCAGGTGTCACGAGTTCTGAGAAATGCTTCAGCTGGCCAAGGCGTGGCGAAAAGCTAGTGCTCCACTTTTGTGGGGCCAATTTCATTGGTACATACTAACCTTGAATGGCAGGCATGCGCATTTTGGACGGCTTCCGGCTTCATATTTGGAAAACTTGCATTCCAACCTGCACGTTTGGGTTTTCGGGCACGCCTATTGCACTTGCGTCGTGTGTCAACGTTAGGGACCTCATCCTGATGGGAATCTTTTCCCAAACAGCTCGTCCTCATTTGACTTGAGCAGTTTGCACCAGGCCCCTGCTTCTTGGTGGTTCCCAGCCATCCCCTTAGTAGGTTTTTTTGCTCTTTAGTTGGTTTCCTGGTTGGGTTTCCGTACTCCGCTTTCATTTAGTCACTATTTAGCGGGTCAGAACACGGAGAGAGGTCCGGTTTTCCGGTCTTAGGAGAGCGAAGCTGGTGTCGCTGCTCAACGGGACGGGACCTCTCACGCTCTTCGCCCCACTGGACGACGCCTTTGAGAAACCGGAGGAGTTCCTGAACCGCCGCGCGGTGGGCAAGGGTCGCTCCAGTCAGCGAGTGTTGGTCGCGTTGGTTTGGTTTGGTTTCAGCTTCTTTGCTTGTGAGGAGCCGTCAAGGCGGTCGAAAAAGGGCAACTTGAGGGTTGATGGGAAGTTGCCCCTTAGGCAAACACCAATCCAAACCACCAATTGGAGGGAAGCTGAGAAGTCCTTGACCTCCTTTCAAAGGCTCAAACCGTCCCCATCCAACTGAACTGCTCCAGACTTGGAGCCAGCTTCCTTTGAACTTGCTTCCCATGTCGACTGGACCCCTTTTTTCGGCGTAAGAGCGCAAGCCCCGAGGCAGTGACTTGGCGGAGCTGGTGCGGCTGCACCTGGCCACGGGGAGTCAGGAGCTCTCCGGCGGGGCGGTGCAGAGCCTGGAGGGCGCCCGCCTCAAGGCGGCTGCGCGAGAGAGCGGGGTTGGCGTGGCTCCTTTTGAAAACCGAGACCAAACAAGCAAACACACAAGCGAGCGAGCGAGCAAGCAAGCAAGGAAGCAAACACACAAGCAAGCATACGAACCGAAGAGCAGCAAGCTATGTTTTTGGGTAGTCACCTCATGTTTATTTTTGCTAGGTGTTTGGCTTGGCCAGCTCTGTTTGGTTATGGGAACTTCAGCTTTAGCCCGGTATGAGATTCAAGGTGTTCCCACCTTAGGCTCAACTCCTGCTCGTGTCATTCCTTGTTTGATGGGGGCCAGATGGGTAGACGTTTTTTTCGAGGTTAGCAGATTCTGTGCGCACAAGACGCCAGCCAGTCAGTGTTTTGTGGAGTTCGTCTTAGTCCACACCGCCCCGCTCAGGGAGATAGGACATTGAAGTCTGCCCCCCAAAGTAACTTGGAGAACCCTGCTTGCACAACGCAATATGTGACTTTGTTCGCTGTCCTGACAGGTTGTCGTGGGTGAGCAGAGCCACGCTGAGAAGAGCCACGCTGAAGTGAATGGTGCGAAGGCTGGCCAGGGGGCGCAGTGCTGCACTTGTGAACACAGGTTTGGCGTTGTTAGATTTTGAGTGACGTCCGCCAACGAGACGAGCGCAGTCCCAGTTTCCTCCTTGACACCGCGCAGCTGTCACAGAAACTCTGCGAATTTGGACCCTCCAATCATGTTCCTTCTTTCTCTATAGTCCCTGCCTCCAGGAATCGTAAGCCTCGAATTGTCCCTTGACCAGCCCGAATCATCATTCACAACCCCGTCACAGTGCCAGTGTCCCAACCCTTGCCAACCCTTTCTAACCCTTGCTACCCCTGAGCGAATCTTGCCAACGTGCGCCGCTCCCCATCGAAAATTGCCGACCAGTCACCCGCAGCGGACATAGGCTGACCTTTCGAGCGTAGTGCCAACTGGCAGGACACCAGATGTCACAAGCACAGTCCAAAAATGTACTCGAACATGTCCTGTCATGCTAACATCGTGGTTGAATTTGGGGGTTGTTCAAAAAGAAAGGGTTCTGATTTGGCCATGGGTCAAAATCCGAATCGTACCCCCAGCGAACATCCGATTCAATCCCCACCAAAATAGGTTCTCTGTCACGGGTGGCGAATTCACCGAAAACCCCCCCCCCCCAAATGGGATCTGATCATCGGTTTTGTCCACAGCCATTTGGAACCTCCGGTCGCAAAAAACAAACCCAACGGAGTCGACCCCCAAAACGGTTTCGATCCCATTGGTTTCCACCGCATCTCTACGGCCATGGGGTTTGGGACTCCGGTCGGATCCACGGAGTCGACTCGGACCGAAGCTGGGCTTCAGGTCCTGGGAGCGGAGCTTCTGGAGAATGGGGCGCTGTACCGCGTGGGCGCCGTTTTCGCCCGACCCCATCGGCGGCTTGGCCGACCTGAAAAAAAAGGGCGGCAAGGAAGGAAGAAGGCTCTTCTTCCAGAGTTGTGGTCAAAAATATGGACCCGTTTGAAGGGGATACCAAAAAGGGGGCCCTACATTTGACAAACCTTTTGTACCTTTGAGTCCCTTTATATACCTTTGTCTACAGGACTCAAAGGGAATCTCTTTTTTCAGATCCCAGCATCAACTTGACTTGTTGTTAAGTTGTAAGTTTGGTGTGCATTTGGTTTCTTGTGAGAGCCAAGCATCGGACGACTGTTCTCATGCTTTGTTTGCTTTGCGTTGCAAACCATGCTGCGTGGATTGTTGGATCGCCACGTTTGGAAGTCGGAGTCTAATCCAGCAATCACCCAAGCTGCCATTCTGAATCCACCGGTTCAAGTCGTCAACAAATGTACGCCAACTTCGGCAACGGGCGTGATTTCGACATGACCCACTTGCAAGGCGATAGGCGATTCCGCCCGGGATAGCCTAGATGTAGCACAAAGTACCGGCGATGGCAAAGCAGTGGAACACTTTGTTCCTTGCGGAGCTTCCGCATGGTTCTCCCAAAGGTGCCTGGTCAAGACAGCCAAAGAAGGGACCTAGGACTTCTATTGGTTTCGTCAGCCAAGCCCCAAAACTTGCTGGTGCTCAGCAGGGAATGAGGGAATGCCCCTAGAAACCATCTCCTATGGTCCTATGGTCCTATGGTTTCTGAGAGAAGGATACCCTCGCCATGTGGAGGCAGCTTCTGGCTGGCGATGGCCACTGGAACGGCTGGAGCGCGCAGCGGGATGGCAAGTCCACAGGTCAGGTGCCGCCCGGCAGGGTTTGGCGAAGGCGTCGAGTCGTTTCTGTCGCGCGGAAGGGTTTCCAGGAGGGAAATCTACAACGAAACATTCGAACAATGGCCTAGATAGTAGGCATATCTCAATCCCAGCAGGTAGTCCCTTGGTCTTGATGTTTGATTCTGATGGAATTATACCGGTAGGTTTGTTGGACGACACATTGGCATCAGTTAAACGGATGTTGGGTTCCGGGAGGGGTCTTCTGCTGTTTGCGTCCAAGCTGCAATAGAAGCCAACATGGGGTAAGGCGAGATGGCCTCTTGAAACCTGAATGGAGCAAGCTTAACCTGCTGGTGCTCGGCAGGGAATGAGGGAATGACCCTTGATTCACCATCCCTGGTGGCTTCCTTTAAGGGGACCAATTCCTGAGCTCATTCCCACATTCCCTACCTATCGCGCCAAGCTCCAGAGGAATGCTTCTCAAAGCCATGCCCAGGCTGCCTCAATTTGCGGTCGTGAGCAGGCAGATTGCGCCTTTTTTGGCACCGGATTTGCCCCAATCGCCAATCGGGATGGGCGAATTCACCTCTCTCCCCGACAGATCTAGCAGTATCAAAAGCAGCAAGAACGAACTCAAGGCGGAGCTTCAGCCTGCGACTTAAGCTTGAGTGGCCCCGATTTCCATTTCTTGCCATTCCTGGGAGCT